AGCTGCGTGCTGCTGGAGGGAGTGAAAACACACCAACATGTGTACACAGCCTTGGGAAGAAAACGGGGGTGTGCTGGCTAAAGCACTTAAGGAAATCTCTGTCCAATCATCAGCTGGCCACTAAATTAACCAAACAAAGACTTCAGTGGCTACCCAAAGAATACTACTAAGAATACTATTAAGAATACCACTCAGCCTCTGCAGAGTAAGCGCAGGAAAGCCAGTAAACAAACATAGCAGAAATAACAGCGATAACAACATACCAGGGGAACTGGTGGAGGTAAAATCTGATGTTCAGATTTGTCACATTATATAATTTAAATTTTTGTTTTTAACTAAAAATTACAAGGCATGCAAACAAAAAAGAAAATACAGCCCATACACAGGATAAATCCAATCAACAAAAACTCTCTTAAGAAACTCAATGTTGGCTCGGCGCCTGTGGCTCAAGTGGCTGATGCGCCAGCCACATACACCTAAGGTGGTGGGTTCAAATCCAGCCCAGGCCCACCAAACAACAATGACGGCTGCAACCAAAAAACAGCTGGGCATTGTGGCCAGTGCCTGTGGTCCCAGCTACTTGGGAGGTGGAGGCAGAAGACTCGCTTGAGCCCGGGAGTTGGAGGTTGCTGTGAGCTGTGATGTCACAGCACTCTACCCAGGGGGACAGCACCAGCCACATACACCTAAGGTGGTAGGTTCATATCCAGCCTGGGCCTGCCAAACAACAATGATGGCTGCAACCAAAAAATAGCCAGGCGTTATGGCAGGCGCCTGTGGTCCCAGCTACTTGGGAGGCTGAGGCAGCAGACTCGCTTGAGCCCAGGAGTTGGAGGTTGCTGTGAGTTGTGATGCCACAGCACTCTACAGCGTGAGGTTCTGTCTCAAAAAAAAAACCAAAAACTCAATGTCAGAATTACTAGACAGAGTAAATCAGCTATCATAAAAATGTTCAAAGAACTAAAGAATTATAAAAAAATTAAAGGACACCCAAAGAAGTGAAACATTTAGATATAAATATAACAAAAATGTGTACTATATGAGGAAAACTACAAAACTCTTGATGACAGAATTCAATAGAGAGACAGTCCATGTTCGTGGACAGGACTCTATTGTCAAGAAATCAGTCAGTCTGGCTTGGTGCCCATAGCTCAGTGGTTAGGGCACTGGCCACATACACCTGAGGCTGGTGGGTTCGAACCTGGCCTGGGCCTGCTAAAATCAACAATGACAACTACAACAACAAAAGAAATCAGTCAGTTCTTCCTAACTTAATAGAGATTTAACATAATCCCAATCAAAATACTGGCAAGTTATCTTGTGGATATCAGCAAACTGATTCTAAAATGTGTACGGAAAGGCAAAAGACTCGGAACAGCCAACACAAAATTAGAGAACAAGGACAAAGCTGTAGGACTGATAACAGTGATTTGGAGATTATAAACTATTGTAAAGCTACAGTTATCAAGAGAGCATGGTATCAGTGAAATAACAGACACATAGATCAATGGAGCAAAACAAAGAGCCCAGAAACAGTCCCACAGTAACATACTCAACTCATCTTTGACAAAGGGCAAAGGCAATGCAACGGAGAAAAGATGGTTTTTTTCAACAAACAGCGCTGGGACTACTGGATGTCCACATGCAAGAGAATAAAAGCTGGATGCCTATCTTACTCCACATAAGAATGATCAAAGACCTAAATATAAGAACAAAACCTAAAACTATTAGGAGAAGACATAAGATTAAAATCTCAGGACCTTAGAATTGGCAATGATTTCTTGACTATGCCAGCAGATGGTTGAGTAATAATAAAAAAATAAATTGAACTTCATCAAAATTAAAACCTTTTGTGCATCAAAGGACACTACCAAGACAGTGAAAAGACAACCACAAAATGGGAAAAAATATTTGTAAATTGTATGTGATGAAGGTCCAGCATTGAGAATATACAAAAAGCACTTAGAACTCAACAAAAAGTTAATCATATATAAAATGGGCAAATGAAGAGATATTCATCATTAATCATTAGGGAAACACAAATCAAAACCACAGTGAAGTACTACTTCACATCCACTAGGATCGTTACAATGGAGAAAATAAAAAGTAAGTGTTGAAGATGTGGAGAAATTGGAACTCTCATACAATGCTTGTGGAAACGTAAAATAAGGCATCTGCCATGTAAAAAACACACAAAACTACCACATAACCAGCAATTCCACTCCTAGTATACATCCATGTGAAATGAAAACATTCGCCCACAAGGAAACTTACACAGGAATGTTCACAGCAATAGTATTCATAATAGCAAAAAGGTAAAAACACAAATGTCTACCAACAGATAAATGGATAAACAAACTATATTATATACATTACTCAATTAAGAGGAACAAAGTACCTATACATGATACACCATGGACAAACCTCAAGAACATTACATCAAGTGAGAGAAACCGGCTGTAAAAGGCCACATACTTTGATTTCATTTAAAGGAAATGTCCAGTATAGGCCGGGCACAGTGGCTCACACCTGTAATCCTAGCACCCTGGAAGGCCAAGGCGAGTGGATTGCTCTGAGCTCACAGGTTCGAGACCAGCCTGAGCAACGGCAAGACCCTGTCTCTAAAACTAGCCCAGCCCAATGTTGTGGTAGGCACCGGTAGTCCCAACTACTTGGGAGGCTGAGGCAAGAGAATAGCTTTAGCCCAAGAGTTGAAGGTTGCTGTGAGCTACATCGCTACCACACTCTATGAAGGGCAACAAAGGGAGACTCTGTCTCAAAAAAAAAAAAGAAAGAAAAGAAAAGAAATGTCAAGTACAGGCAGTCCCTGAATTATAAACTTCCAACTTACATACAACTCACTCTTACAAACAGGGGCTAGTACAGTAAGTCCCCAAGTTACAAACATCTGACCTCTGAGTTACACTTATGAACAGAGACTATTACAAGTAACAGGTAATGTTCCTCTTCCAATCCACATACAAATTCAACTTAAGACAAACCTAGATAGAGAAACTATCTTGTTCATAACCCGAGGACTACCTGCATAGGCAAATCCAGACAGAAAACAGCCAGTGGTTAGTCAGAGAGAAGGGGACAAGGGACAAATGGGGACTACTTAATGGGTACAAGGTGTGCTTTGGGGATGATGAAAAAGTTCTGAAAGTAGGTGGTGGTTGCAGGATAATGTGAATGCATCGAATGCCAGTTAGTTCTGTTCCTGAGCACACTAACTGCCATGTGAGTTGGATTGAGTGTTGAGGTCACAGCCTCATGAAGCACACATCACTCACGTGTCTCCTGACCTGGGGAGCCCGGGGTAGTCAATGTGTTAAAATGATTATTAGTTTGTTATGTGGTTTTTCAGAGAAAAACAAATCATTAAATTAAAATTAATGCAGCCTTTGAACAGTTATTTGGAGAAACTGTTTTAAATGTTTAATCCCTGAATGAGGCAAGGTCTCCTACGACCTAAGGAGACGTGATGCAGGTCACTGATGGGCACAGGCACGGGGGTATGAGGGGTGTGGGGGGCACAGGGTCAATCACAGGAACACAGCTGTAAATAATGGTTTTACCCCCAAATGCCAACTTTTTTTTGGAGACAGGGTCCACTCTGTTGGTGGGCTAGAGTGCAATGCATCATCATAGCTCACTACAACCTTAAATGACCCTGGGCTCAAGTGATCCTCCTGCCTCAGTCTCCTGAGTATCTGGGACTACAGGCACCTGCCACCATGCCTGGCTAATTTTTTATTTTTTGTAGAGTGGAGTCTTGCTCTTGCTCAGGCTGGTCTTGAATTCCTTGGCTCAAGTAATCCTTCTGCCTCAGCTCCCAGGGTGCTGGGGTTACAGGTGTGAGCCATAGCATCTGGTCCCAAATGTCATCTCACATCACATGCTAAGTATACGTACTGAGTGCTACCCTTAATAAATCAGGGCTTTACTACGTGCAAGTTCTCCTTCATCCTTCAACAATAACAGCCCACAAGGCCTTTCTTTCACTCCATAGGACTCAACAAGATGAATCGAGCAAAGACATTCAATTGGAAAATAATTTTTTTTTTGAGACATAGCCTCAAGCTGTCACTCTGGGTAGAGTGGTATGGCATTATAGATCACAGCAACCTCCAACTCCTGGGCTCAAGCGAGTCTCCTGCCTCTGCCTCCCAAGTAGCTGGGACTACAGGTGCCTGCCACAACACCTGGCTATTTTTTGGTTGTAGCCATCACTGCTGTTTGGCGAGCCGGGGCTGGATCTGAACCCATCAGCTCAGGTATATGTGACTGGCGCCAAGCCTGGAAAATAATTTTAAAAGGGCTTTTTTAGAACAAGCCTTTATGTGATTTTGTTCTTTCTACTGGAGTGGCTTCTCCACAAAACAATTTTAGTATGAACCAAAATACAATCTTCAATATACCTACACAGTTATGCGTGACTGGCTTTATTGATGCTCTCAGGGCTGTCCCTGTGGTATACCTTAGGGTTTTTTCAGTTTTGTAAAATGTCACCTTTTTTTTCCCCATTAGATTACTTTTAATGTAAATGCTATATAAATAGTTATTAAACTGTATTGTTTAAAATGTCTATTTTAACATATTAATTCATGGTCTCTCAGCTGGACACTCTTACTGAGTTCTTTAAACAACTGCAAAGTATATTCACCAGTATCTGAAATGCCAGACTTGAAAAGGGACAAGTGGCTGCCAATCTGGGTGTGAGGAAGCAGGAGGTGGGATTCCCAGACCTGGACAGCAGGGGTCAAGAGATATGATTGGCAATCATAGACTGGGAATGGGCAACAAAAGAAAAGAAGAAGAAAAAGAATCTAAAATATGTTGCTAATGAGTTGGCAGAACAATCTTAAAGTATCAGCCTTTGGAAGCAAAACAAGGCATACCAGTGGGAACCACTAAAGTCCAGTTTGCAAAACCTGGGGTTGGGATCCATCAGCAACACCACCCTTAGAAGCAGAGAGAGGAGCTGACACTCCACCTACCTCTTGGCTGAGGCTGGAGACTTGGCCACGATGACTGCATTCCTATAATCCGGAATCTGTGAGAGACACAAGGACAGGGATTACCACATGTCTTCAAGAGCTGGCTGTCCCAACGATCAACAAAAAGGACCATTCCAATAGACTCAAAATGTCATCTGGTTACTTAGAAGCATTCAAAAAAAAGATAAAGATCAAAGTAAAGTTTTCCTTTGGAAAATGAAGAAGTACTTACCAAGGAAAAAAATATTACACCACTCAGAAATTCTTTTAAGAAAAAAGTCAAGATAACCAGTGATTAGCTTGTATCTCTTTGCCAGCAAATACTGATAACTTGGTGTAAAGATATTTCTATAAAGTCAAAAGGAAGTTATCTTATGAATCCTAACTACATGTAACCTCTCTCTCTCTTTCTTTAAGAGACAGAGTCTCACTCTGTCCCCCAGGCAGCTGGAGTACAGTGGCCCAATCATAGCTCACCATAATCTCAAACTCCTGGCCTCAAAGGATCCTCCCACCTCAGCTTCCCAAAGTGCTGGGATTACAGGCATGAGCCACTACACCTGGCCTACAGGTACTCTTACAGTACAAGGATAGTATCCATCAAATTTGATTCCCAGTTAATTGTCAAATTCCAAATTAATCCAAACAGATGACTATTTAACATACTGCAGTCATGACATGCCAAAGAAAGCAATCTGTTAATGGACAATCAGCCCAATGCAATTTTAAAAAGATATAAAACACAAACTAGGGTGGCACCTGTGGCT